CGAGTCTCAAACTCCAACATGAATAAGACGCCCCGGAGGACTTACGGCTTCCTGGGCCCAACACCCGATCCTGGGGATTCTGATTCGGCAGGTCTGGGGTGGGGTCTGAGAATTTTTGTTCTTAACCAGCTCCCAGACCTCCCCTGGAGTGAACACGAGTTCCAGGCCCTGCCTCACTCGCCCGGGGCCCCTAACCGCCCCGGGCATGATAGAGGCAGAGGGCACGTCATGCGTGGGGCATAGATGAAGGGGGGAGGGAGCCGGTGCCCGCAGGAGCCCACCACGGGGTTCAGCTTTCAGACGAGATAGAAGAGGCGACAGGTACACCCACCTCACTGCAGCTTCGATCTGAGGTACGAAGGGTTATGATCACCTTCCTCACGCACCCCCTGCCTCCCGACACTGGGTTACTACTCAGTTCTCCTGGGCGCCGAGCCCTGCGACCTGCCGTGGTCTGGTCAGCAGCTTCTGCAGGCCCAGCGGCCAGGCTCCAGGGGCTCCCCACCAGCCTCCTCTCCCCTGGGACCTGGCCGTCGAGTGGGCGGGAAGGGGCGAGGAAAGAGGCTGGGTGGGGGATCACGGGCTCTTCCTTCCCATTGTTGGGTGGTTCTAAGCTCTCAAACCCTGCCCTCCAGTGTCTGCTTCCTGCTAAGCATCGCCCTGTGACGGAACAGCGAGGAGGTGCTCTCCCTCTTGTGGTCTGTGTCACCCAGGCCCTGCCTGGAAAAGGCCAGGGGAAGGGCTGCCCCTCGTCGCCCTGGAGAGATTCGATGTCTCCAGGGGCTGCTGTCTCACAGAACTCGTCGGAGCTTCCTTTCTCTTCTGAACTGACAAAAGGAAGAGGCTGCCCTGTCTTCTGGTAGAGGTCATGATGCCTGGCGGGGACACCAGCAGCCCTCTCCGGGCCGGGAGCAGAGCTGGTCTGAGCACGTCAGAAAGTTATAGCGCCACCATACTGTCCGCGGGTGACCGTGGACCCTCCCGTGGGGCCAGTCATTCCTTTAGCACGGTCCCGGGCAGGATGCCTGCGGGGGTCCCTCCGGCCGCGTTCAACTTTGTGGGTGGGGGTGCGGGGCTGGCTCTGCCCGGGCCTGGATTTTGCGGGGCGGACACCGCAGGGTCAGGAAGGAGCCCAGGACGGGAGGGGAGAGGGAGGGACTATAATGACGGACAGCAAGGACGGGGGAGGCAGACAGTCTGTGGAAAGCTGACAACCCACTGGGGTCCAGGAACCACCGGTGCCGAGTGGCAGGAGGGAGGAAAGATGGGAGCGGAGTCAGAGGCTGGGCTGCTGGGGACCGAGGTATGACAGGCCGTGGATGGTGTGGTGGTGAGAGCCAGGAGTTAGGATCACGGAGGTGAGCGGCTGGGGGACGTGGAAGACATGGCCGAGGGGGGAGGAGTTCAAGGAACCTGTTGGCCCCAGAGCTGGAGGAAACCCGCACTTCGGTGGAAGGTAAAATAGGGCTTCCAGGCCCTCCTGGTCCTGGGGCACACACGGCCTTCTACCGTGTGACCCGACGACTCCAGCTGAAACAGTCCTTCCATTCCCCGATGCCTTGGTTGCGGCTGGGCTCTGTGACTTGCTGTGACTGGCGGGTGCCTGCCGAGGGGACATCAGGTAACTTCTGACGCTGTGCCTGAAGACGCTCAGCAGTCCCTCCATATGCCTGAGACCTCCCCGCCGCCCCCCCCCGCCCCATGCAAGGAAGCCAGAGGATGGGAGGCTGCGTGGAAAACTGGGGCACCCTCATGCGGCACCAGCACCTACTGCCACAAGGGGACACCCATGAGACCCACAGATTCACACCACAATGTCAGCGTGATGTTTAGCCCCTAAGTGTGAGGCCGTCGGGCTGCAGACAGAGACGTGTGGATTGTGAAATCATCGACAGTTATTACAAGGGAATGTTAGAGACTAATAACAAATCAGAGCTAAGATCTAGGTTTGTGAGAAAAGAATAGTTTCTATTCTTTTTTTAAATTTTTTTGAGCTACTTTGAGCGGACTGCCTTGCTGTTTATTGTCAAAAGTATCCAACATATGCAATTAGGTGTAAATAAAGGGACCTTCACTGCCCCCCCCCACAAAAAACATAAAAGTCTCAGAGCTCGAGCATCTGCCCCTTCTGGATGACTTCTTGCTGCAGAGTGGGAAGGCTTCAGGGAGGAGGTGACGTCTTAGATGACTCAGGCAGGACGAGAAGGGTCATGGGTGCGCCCAACACCCTCGTTGGCATTGGGACATGACCCAGCACAACAGGGCAGCCAAGCAGAACAGAGGGGAGAGAAGATGACACATTGGGCAGCAGAGAGAGCTCCGTGGTCCTGGCACTGCCATTCCCTCGTGGAAATTCACCTATGGGTGTAGCACTTGGAACCTGAAGGGTGAGCCTCCATGAGAACCAGGCTCCACGCAGTCAAGGAGCCTGGCCTTGCCCTGTCTTGATTAAACAAAGCATGAGATTTCTGGGATACTGAGGTTGAGACAGGAAGGGAGCGGCAGGAAAGGCCTGGTCAGCATCAGATGTCAAAATTCCACACAGTGGAAGTGTGTGAGATGAAAGAAGAGGGTCGGCAGGCTAGGTCAGGGGTTGACACCAATTAAGGGGGTGCCAAATGAAGGAATCAGAGACCTAGGCGAAGTCAAGGTTAGAATCTTGCGGTGTGCGCCTTACTAATACTTCCACCTGTCCCCACTACATCTAGGGCTACGGCCACTGCCTGAATGGCCAGCCCTGTGCATGGGTGGAGAAGGAGCTCCTGGGCATGATATTCAGGGACACAAGCCAGCGAGAAGCAGCCCTCCGCCAGTGGTGGGCAGATAGAGATTTGACACATACATGCCCAGTGCGCTCACTTCTGGCCCCACAGTGGGGGTGTCTCTGGGGGGCTCCCTGAGCTCCCTAGTAGGCCCAGGTGCCACTTGCCTTCAACAATGCTCCCCTCATCACCACACTTCCTTCCCTGGCCCACTTTCCCCTCCCCTGCAGTGCTTCCTGGGATCCCCTGTAAATACACTCCTTGCGTCTGCATTCCGCTCCAGGGTTTGCCCCTGACGGGGAAACCCAAATTAAGACAGGCATCGATAACATCTCAAGCACTCCACCAAATCATTCATTCATATGCATGTACATATCTTCCTTTAATCCTCTATAAAGTTGGCATCATTAGCGTCGTTTTACAGAAGAGGAAAGAGACGATCAAAAGCGTAAGTAATACACCCAAATTTACCAAGAGGTGGACCCAGGACGTGAGGCAGGACTGTCTGATTTGCCGGGCTCATCCCAGCGCTCTCCTCGCGCCCTGCTCTCTGCACAAAAGCAGCAACTTCTTAGGCCCTTCTCCCTCTTTGTCGGTCTGGTCGCCTCTTCCCCCAACTCTCTGTGGAGACCCGAGCCCAGAAAACTCGTGGGATGTTCCTTTGAAGACTTTGTCTAAAGTCTTCATTTTACGGATGAGGAAACAGCCTTGAAGGCACAAGTGACGTTTCCAAAGCACACGGGCATTCCTTTCTGAAATGGTGCTTTGCACCATCTGTGAAGAAGGCTAGCGGGGTCCCATGTTAGGGAGAAGATGTGGAATCCGAGGGAGGGGTATGCAAGTGGCAGAGCAGGTGTGGGCGGCCGTAGGGAGAGTCGCAGGAAGCATCCTTTATCAGACAATTTCCCTTGGGCCAGGCGCTCTGTGACACCCTTCACCTACAAGCTGACCTCGGGCATACAAGCGAAAGTGTTCAGCATTCTATGGGGCGCCTGGGTGGCTCAGTCGTTAGGCATCTGCCTTCGGCTCAGGTCATGATCCCGGGGTCCTGGGATCGAGCCCCGCATCGGGCTCCCTGCTCTGCGGGAAGCCTGCTTCTCCCTCTCCCACTCCCCCTGCTTGTGTTCCCTCTCTCGCTGTCTCTCTCTCTCTGTCAAATAAATAAATAAAATCTTTAAAAAAAAGTGTTCAGCATTCTCATTTGTTGGAGTGGGAGCCAAGACTTATGAAGGCGTAGTGATCTGCTCTTATCTCCAGGACAGAGCTGGGATTTGGCCATGGCCCCTGGTTGGACCAGCACATAAAACAGGAACCTGTGATCAGAAAGGAATGGCTGGAGTGGTGGGGGGTGGGAGGGATGGGGTGGCTGGGTGATAGACATCGGGGAGGGTATGTGCTATGGTGAGCACTGTGAATTGTGCAAGACTGTTGAATCACAGATCTGCTCCTCTGAAACAAATAATACATTATATGTTAAAAAAAAAAAAAGAAGAAGAAGATAGCAGGAAGGGAAGAATGAAGGTGGGAAACTGGAGGGGGAGACGAACCATGACAGACGATGGACTCTGAAAAACAAACTGAAGGTTCTAGAGGGGAGGGGGGCGGGGGGATGGGTTAGCCTGGTGATGGGTATTAAGGAGGGCACGTACTGCATGGAGCACTGGGTGTTATACGCAATGAATCATGGAACACTACATCAAAAACTAATGATGTAATGTATGGTGATTAACATAACAATAAAAAATTTAAAAAAAAGAAAGAAAGAAAGGAATGGCCGAACCCCAACCCAGAGACCTGGGCTCACTCCAGGCTGGAGGTTCCTTGAGATGAAACTGTTCAGTGGCGTTTGGTGCGGCAGAGAATGGGGTGCAGAGAGGGACAGCAAACGGTCAAAGGTGAAAGACTTAGGGGGCGTCAAAGAGAAAATGTCGCCTCTCTTGGGCTATCAGCCAGCTCATTTTGAGGAACAGGATCTGGGGTTCTGGTTTAAACCCTTTCATTTGCAAGCTTTAAGAAAAAAAGGCTACTCACTGACCACGATACCTCCATGCCCCGCCTTCCCTCAGCCCTCAACACACACGCATAATCTCAGCCTTCAATTGCTTCACAAATTCTGGGAACACCTCATACCATCTCCCCCGCACTCAGCTCCACCCAACCCCACCCACCCCAGTCCCCTTAAGGCAGAGCTCCCCAGGGAGAAGCACAGCTGAGTGAGCAGAGAAAATCCTTCGAGCAAACCCAGCCTTGAGGAACAGCCACTGGAGGGTGTCGTGGCCACTCATGGACACCCAACTAGATACAAAACGAAGAACTTTGTCCCCTTCTTGTCATTCTGAAAGACTGTGAACCCTGGAGTCCTCAATCATCACACAGGAAGCTGAGGACTTCCTGCTCAATCAGGACACTGAACCTTGAATTCATAAAGATTCTAAAAGCTCCAGAAACAAAGACTTCGTGGACAAAATCCCTAGGGACCAGAGTAAGTGGCACTTGTCTTTTCTGTCTTGTTAGTGACTGTGAGGGCAAGCTGGTCTGCAGACATACATGCAGCCAGGTGGGACTGTGGTCCTCGTGTTGCAGGACATTCTTTACTTGTCTGTCTCCTCAAAGGTGAGGAATTCTTCAAGGCCCAAGCAAACACCTAAGTACCCCATCGATGCATCTATAATGCAATTAATTGTATAGCAATACTGACAAGGGGTGAATTTATAAGACTGGGTGCTCAGATGTAAAATGGGGTTTTTTGCTAAAAAGGGGAAGCTTTCCTGAATGATTGGTTGTTGGTGACTGGTTGAGAAAATCAGCCTTTCTAAAGTCAGTTAAGAAACAAGAGGATCTCTGTGAAAAACCGTTCAAGAGGAAATCACTTACCAAACTGCCCTGTGTAAGCAAAAACCAAACATGGTGTATGAAGAAATTATAGCAAAAGGGAAATACTAATTAGAAAAAACGTTGCAGATGGCAGGATGATTTGATACTGGACCAATTTCTTGAGAAGACTAGAACCAAAGAGCCTCACAATCAGGCCTGATGATTTGTCTTTGGAGGAGGCAGGATTTTACCCTCCCGAAGGCAGGGAGATGTCCTCTTGGGATGCAAACATTCTGTCCTACTAACAAAGAGGCAGGTCAGAATTTGCTCTGAAGACAGAGGGGCATGGGGGCTACTTGGAGGTATCTATTTCAACTGTTCCTCCATAAACTCTGGAGTGGCCCAGATTTTCAGAGTTAGAAACTCTCAGAGATTTGCATAGCTTGTCACCAGGCTGTGTACCACTCTCTCACCCTTAAGTCCCCACTCTGACTAGCAGGATAGCTCTAGGCTATGCAGACTGTGGGGAGTGAAGGGCCAATAAATGTTTAACAACTGGCTCTCTTGGAAAAAAAAAAAAAAAAGAGCCCTGATTTCTAGTGTTTGTAGATTTCTATGGTGTAAATATCCGCACTATGGTTGATTTCAAGCTACTTACTCCTTGAATGCAGAGTTGGGGAGAGATGCATAGGATTGGTCTCTATGAACCAGGATAAACCAGCCCCTGTACAACACCAGGCTTGGGTGTCTTATCACTGCAGGCTGTGCTTTTTCTGCTCAAAGACTTCACCAGCTCCCAGGCTAGAGGACGCTGCCACTGCAAGGTTCTGGGGGGCGCCAGGGCTCCAGCTGACCGATGCCCAATGGCCTTGGGGCAGACTTTGCAGCAGATTTCAGCGGGCCTAGGTGGCAACAGGGTCCTTCTGTCTCCCTCCATGGCCCCATGCCAGGCCATCTCTCTCCCAGAGTTGTTGCGTGGTGCCTGGCAAGTTGGGAAAATAGTCAATGGAGTTGGAGGTGGACGGGGGGAGGGGGCTGGTGAAGGCGAGTCTCTATTCAAATGGCACGAGCAATGCTGACTGAGTTTGCCTTCACCTTTGCCAAAATTCCCCAGAAACCGGGCTCCTGGGCTCAGTCGTGTGCCAGTTGCTCTTTGTGCTTCCAAGCTGCTTGGAGCTTCTGCTATAAACCTGCCAGCCTATCCAAAAATGCTGTCTGCCAAGCCGACCCATCCACACGGTGGGCAGTGGCAGAGGAAATCAGAAATTGTCCACACAGTTTGGTTAAGTAACTGCCAGCCTGGGTTCCTGCACAAGGAGGGCTGGGGGCCTAGAGGCAAGTCCAGAGCTGGAGGAGTCAGCCAGAGGGATGGATTTGACTGGAAATGACAGTCCCCCAGCCAGGGTGTATGACATTGTCCCCCTCCCCCACCCCGGGTGCCTTACTTTCCAATGGTCACTGCAGAAATGTGAATTTTGCAGGAAGGAAACATTCATTAAGCAATTTAGAAGGAAGACTGCTAGAGACTCCAGACTCAGGGTGGGAATTATGAGGTAGGTACCGGCTACTTTTCTGACTGGTGGCAACCTACTGAAAATTTCAAAGTGCAGTTCGCATGGAAGGGACTGTCCCGGTCCACCACTGTCGAGCAGAATTCATTTTCCAGATAAACTATAGAAAGAACTGGTGGGGGGACTTGAGGGAGCAGGTACATCAGCCGGAATAGGATCAGAGCCAGGGACTGGCCTCAGAGAAGGGTCAGTGCAGGGAAGGAGGAACCCCAATATTTACTGAGGGCCCAGTAGGTACTAGGGGGTGGCTTTTCTCACATATTACAGTAGCCCTGCAAGGTGTTACTTTCTCACATTACAGTTGAGGAACTGAGGCTCAGAGAGGTAGGTTAATGCACCCATAGTCACACAGCTGGTAGATTGCATGAAAGCCCCTGCTCCCTTTGGGGAGGTGTCTGTAGTAAGTGGAAAGGATTGAAAAGGAGTGCTGAAAATGGGGGGCTGGGGAAGTCCTATGAAGGCAAGCTCTCTAGTGGTTCTTTTTTGTTTTTCTTTGTTTCAAGGCAACCCTGGTTAAAAATATCTAAGAGCATATCTCAGCAGAACTCCAGCTACGGCCTGGTTGCTTCACAATACCTCATGGCTCTAGGCTGTCCCAAGCTCTCCCCTCCCCCCATCCCTTCTTCCCCCATCAGGTCACCCCATCCTCCCAGACTGTACTGTCCTCTGAATCCTCCTCATGGCCCTCACAGGAGGCCTACGGAGTGACCTGTGGATCCACGTGTATGGCATGAGCCAAGCTGACCCACTCTGGTGCCCTCAGCGTCCTCATCTACTAAGGGATGGGGCTAGCCTTCTAGAATTTCACTATGACAGCACTATGGGTCTTTGGGGTAAGATAATTTTTGCATTACAGGACATTCTTGGCCCTGCTTACTGAATGGCCTGAGAGTAGCATCCCCTAGTCTCTATGGCAACCAAAAAAATAAAAAATAAAATAAAATAACCCTACACATTTACATGTGCCCCCACCATGCTACATCACCCCTGGCTAAGAACCTTTTTAGCCCCCCTAGCCCTGAAGATCCATTTGTAAGTTTTGGACTCCCAGCTTCCTTCTGGAGACCCCACAGTGCAAAATCATTGCTCCGTGATTGGAGACAGGGATGCACATGAAAAGAAACTCCAGCTCTCATTCTCAAAGATATGTGTCCTTACCATTTCGAGCTCCCGCATCATCACCTCTAAACTGGGGAACAGCAGTGGCACCCCCTCTGTGGCGGGCGGGGGCGGGGGGAGTTGTCCAGCACTAAGTCCAGTGTGAAGACCGTGGGCAGGACTGGTTTGGAGCAGTGTGGTGAGGTCTCCCTCCGTCTGTGCTCTGCAGCCAGTGGACTTTTCCTTCACTACAGTTAGTGCCAAAGTAATTGAGTTAACGATCGGTGGGCTCATGTGCTTACTGCCTATGCCCGCTGTTAAACTACAGGGTCCATGAGGGCAGAGAGGACCCCAGATCCCCCCTGCTCAAGGTTGCGTCCCAGGGCCTGGTACACAGTCGGTACTCGGTAGGCAGTTGTCAGGTGGTTGAGGACCTATAATCACCGCCTCATCTTTGTTGTGTGCAGCCCACTGCCTTTCCTGGCAAAGTACACAGAAACCATCTTCCTTGACTCATGCAAGAAGCCAGGATGGAAACCTCAGCCCCCACAAAGGACTATGACATGACAACAGAATATGACTATGAGGGCATAACCCCATGCCAGAAGGGAGAGGTGAGGGCCTTTGGAGCTCAGCTGCTGCCCCCCTTGTACTCGCTGGTGTTCATCGTTGGCCTGGTGGGCAACATCCTGGTGCTCCTGGTCCTCATGCAGAACAAGAGGCTCAAGAGCATGACCAGCATCTACCTCCTCAATCTGGCCATTTCAGACCTGCTCTTCCTCTTCACGCTGCCCTTCTGGATCGACTACAAGCTAAAGGATGACTGGATTTTCAGTGATGGCACCTGTAAGTTGCTCTCGGGGCTTTATTACACAGGTTTGTATAGCGAGATCTTTTTCATCATCCTGCTGACCTTCGACAGGTACCTGGCCATCGTCCACGCCGTGTTTGCCCTGCGGGTTCGGACTGTCATCTTTGGGATCATCACCAGCATTGGCGCCTGGGGCCTGGCCATCTTGGCCTCCATCCCAGGCTTCTACTATTCCAAGATCCAGAGGGAGTTCTCCCATAGCACCTGCAGCCTCCACTTCCCTCACGGAAGCCTCAAAGCCTGGAAACAGTTCCAGGCTCTGAAACTGAACATGTTGGGGCTGGTTCTGCCTCTGTTGGTCATGATCATCTGCTACACAGAGATCATACGGATTCTGCTCAAACGACCCAACGAGAAGAAAGCCAAAGCCGTCCGTCTGATCTTTGTCATCATGATCGTCTTCTTTCTCTTCTGGACCCCCTACAACCTGGCAGTGCTTGTCTCTGCTTTCCAAGACAGCCTCTTCACCGATGAGTGCAGGCAGAGCAAACAGCTGGACCTGGCCTTGCAGGTGACAGAGGTGATCGCCTACACGCACTGCTGCGCCAACCCCGTCATCTACGCCTTCGTCGGGGAGAGGTTCCGCAGGTACCTGCGCCAGCTGTTCAGCCGGCTGCTGTCCGCGCGCCTGCTTAAATGGCTCCCCTTCCTCTCCACCGATAGGCTCGAGAGGACCAGCTCCGTGTCCCCCTCCACCGCGGAGCATGAACTCTCCGCTGGGTTCTGACTCAGGCCCCTGGAGGCCCCTCCGGGACCTAGCAAGGGCGACCTGCCCGGCACGCTGACCCAAGCCGAGGCACGTTGGGACACCTGGCACAGCACAGAATTGCAGACGCGTGGGGGTGAGGAAGTTTAATGGCGGTCTAGACTGAATAATTTCCGGGGCGACTGAGTCCTCTCCAAGAACTCCTCCGTGGTAGAAAGGAGGTGGAGGAGCGGAATGGGACATTCCAGAAGACCGGGACGGAGGGTGTCAGGGAAGAGCTTGGGCCCAAAGGGGAGTTCAGACTTGTGAGCATCACCATTTGTAAATAGAGCCATTGAGCATCCCGGGTGCCCCTGACCCTGCCCCCACCACCAGTACACTTGGAAGTAGTGATTTCCTGCTGACTCCATTCTGATCGGGGAGTCAATCAGGAGCCAGCAGCCTCCTCCCCAACCTCACCTACCCCCATCCCCACGGCAGGGTTTAGGCTCTTGGAAACCCCGAGGAACCGAGAACTCTATGATGGAACAACTCGAGCCCTAGTGGGAAATATTATTGGGGAACTGCCCTCGGCAGTGGAACGGAGAAAGCCCTTGGGGAGAATTTTTATATTTGCAAAAATCAAAACAATTCAGGCAGTGGGCTAGACACAGATCGCCCGCATAATACGTTTGACTTCTTGAAATAGCCACAGAGGGGAGGGAGTCTTTATTTCCATTTAGCAGTTTCTTCTTTCTGAGTATTTTCCAGAATCTCCCTTCCTTGTAAGTTGGATGAGGCGGGAGTACATTCTGATGGCTTTATTGCAGAAATTAGTATCAGGCAAAAGGAGACAGGGTCAGTTTCCCTGCTCTGCTTCCCCACTAAAGCCTTCTGGTTTTACGCCTCAGAGTTCTGGCTGTTACGTTGGACCCATCCGCAGGAAAAATGACCTGGTGTGCAAGCTGACAGTGTCTGAGGCTGAGAGGGAGGGGGGCAGTGAGGTGGGGACTCACCCACCTTGATGTGGAAGGTTGAGAGGACCCTTAATTAAAAGAAACATATTTCCCCTAAATGTCCTTAACACTTGATCTCTCACCAGGGACCTCCTGGTCATCACGTCTTTCTTCCCTTTTCCCTAGGATGTGTATTTCTTTAAAAATCATTTTCCCAATAACAAAAACACAGCTTAAAAACTCAAAGGGAAAAAGAGAACACCCAAAGCACCCAATTCTCACTACCCAAAGACAACGACTGTGCGCTCTTCTATGTATTCTCTTTTAGCTTGGTGTCTGTTTTCTCCTGTGTGTATTTACAACGATGACAAAGACGGACTTCGACGGTACTCTTGTAGTTTTTGTTTTTGAGTAGAAGTATGTTGGGGTCTCTTTCCCAGGTGAATAAATCATATTAAAGCACTGTTTCTGAAGGCTGCGCTGAATTACACCCTCTTTTATTCTACCCATTTCCCCATTATTGCTTGCACAAATCAATTCAATCTAGCAGTGACCAGTGTCGACTTCTCTGAGTTCTCTGAGCCCTGGGAGGCACACAAGCATAGGGACGCACGGAGACCCCAGGCAGGATGGATGGAGCTGCAGTGGAGCCCGTGGCCCTGGGCAGCAAAGGGGAGGAAGGACCCCATCAGTCAGAAAGTACCCTTAGTGAGTGGGTGTCCCACCTTACAACACAGTGACATCATTGGGCTGGCTGTTCTCTTTTTGGACCCTAGAATTGTGCTTTTATCCAGCCACCCTCCCCTTCAGTCAGGGACCTACCATGTGTGCATGCTTTCTTTGTGTAAAGAGGCTGGTATCATGAAGGTTTAGACAGTTTTTGTCTGGGGAAGGAGGCGGTCACACTGTCCTGGGCTTACATTTCCACACAGAACATGGGGACAAATCCAGACTTTGGGAGTCAAGGGGGAAGTCAGCTTTCCATTCAAAAACCTGCCAGTTCGTCTCTGCAGTGTGGCGAGAAGGCATAACGGAATTAAGAAACATTTGTCTACCACTTTGGTCAAATAAGACTGCATCAAGAAACACTGTTTGATCCCCAAAAATATCCTAATGAGAAAGATTGTCATTATAATATCCTCCGGGTCCATTTTTGAAATAATGCTTATGTTTTAACTTGTCACAAAGGCAATAATGTTCACTGTAAAAAAAAACAAAAAACTGAAAACAGATAAAAAGGCCAAAGAAGAAACTGGAAGCATTTGTAGTCACTAGCCACTACCCTCATACAGCCTCTCTTAGCACACTAATGTCGCCATGCATCTCCTTCCTGTGTGCATTACACACACACATCTGCAATCACACTTAACATTTTTTGTGTAGCCGTGGTAAAACTGGACTGCAGTAAGCTCTTAGTAAATGCTGGTTGAATGGATGAATCTCTGAGCCCCCAGTTTCTTTATAAAGTGAGGATAAGAAAAGTATCTACCCCTGTGGGGCAGATTTAACCTGAGGATTAAATGAAGCAAAGCAAGGAAAGTGGGTTATTAAATTTTTATTTTAATTCCAGTCAGTTAATATACAGTGTAATATTAGTTTCAGGTGTACGATAGAGTGATTCCACACCTTCATACAGCACCCAGTGATCGTCCCAACAAGTGCCCTCCTTCATCCCCCACCACTTTTTTCATCCATCCCCCACCCAGCCTCCCCAGCAGTGTGTTCTCTGTAGTTAAGTCTGTTTCTTGGGTGATCTTCCTCCAAGTCTATCAGATAAGAGATCTGACGCCCCCTGACAATGCCTCTCCTCAGTTACTCCAGCCCTTCCGCAGTTACACCTCTAGCCCTTCCTGAGCTGCCTTCCTGCCTCCAGCTCCGCTCCTTGCTCCTGTGTATGCGAGTCACGCCACGCCTCCTTGTTATTGCTGGTTCTAGCATTTCATCCTTCAGAAAGGTTGCCAGAAGAGCCCAAAGAACTTCCATATCTCATCCAGATTCCCCAGCTGTCAGCATCTTACCACATTTGCTCTAATTCATCATTCTCTCTCTCCCTCCCTTTCTGTCTCAAAAGATAGACAGGCAGACAGATAGTTACAAATCTACTATTTTTCTCCAGGACCACTTGAGGGCAGGGTGCAAATATGATGTCTCATCAGCCTTTTGTAGTTCAGAATGATTTTACTAGCAACAAGGATGCTCTCCCACATAATCAAAGCAGAAACTAACTGACACAATATCACCAGGTTATCTGTAGCCTTCTTTCCAACTTTGCCCACTTTGCAAATAATGTCCTTCATAGTCCCAAGACCTAGAATCGTTTACTTAGTTGTGATGCCTTCCTTCAATCAGGCACACTTCTTCAGACTTTTCTTGTGCTTCCTGACCTCAACATCTTGAATGCCACGGTTACCTGGCAGATGGTTCCTTGTTGTGGGTTTCCTGGTGTTTCCTGATGATTAGGGTCAGGTTATGCAACTAGAGCAGGAATCTCACAGAAGTGATGCTGTGTTGTTCTCAGTGCATCATGTGGGGAGGCATTTGGTGCCAACCTGTCCCATCACGAATGATGTTAAACTTTATCGCTTGCTTTAGAAAGTCTCCACCAGGTTTCTCCACCGTAAAGCATATTGTACTTGTAAATTTATAAGTGCCCATTATTAGTGGGCATTTCACTGTATAATAAAAGCATCTTTTCTCCTTCACTTATGTATTTATTCATTTATTTATTTATATCATCATGACCTCATAGATTCCCTTTTTACTTAATGGGATAGAATCTGATATTATTTTTACTGCTTTGATGCACAAATTGTCCCAGATTTATCTAGTGGGAGTGCTTCAAGCTGGATCCTATGTCCTTTTGCTGTTCTTTCTACCAGTTTTTGAGTCCTTTCTTACTTTTTGGCACATAAGGTACTAGGTTCTGCATAGCGCAAGGAAACATCAACAAAATGAAAAGGCCACCTATGGAGTGGGAGAAAATATTTGTAAACCACATATCCGTAAGGGGTTAATATCCAACATATACAAGGAACTCATACAACTCAAAAGTAAAAAACCAAATAACCCAATTTAAAAATAAGCAAAGAACCTGAACAGACATTTTTCCAAAGAAGACATACAAAGCGCCAACAGATACATGAAAAGGTGTTCAACATCACTCAGGGAACATCATCCTCAGGGAAATGCAAGTCAAAACCACAGTAAAATATCACCTCACACCCATTAGAATGTCTATTATCAAAAAGACAAGAGATAACAAGTGTTGGTGAGGATGTGGAAAAAGGGAACCCTGCGTACTGTTGGTGGGAATGTCAGTTGGTACGGCCACTATAAAAAACAGAATGAAGGTTCCTCGAGAAATTAAAAATAGAGCTACCATATGATCCAGCAATTCCACTCCTGGATATATATCCAAAGGAAACAAAATCCTTATCTCAAAGAGATATCTGTATTCCCCTGTTCCCTGCAGCATTAGTCACAATAGCCAGGGCATGGAAACAACAGAAGTCTCCATCAACAGATGAGTGAAGAAAAGGGCACGACCCAAAGCAGAAGTCCCATTCTAATGTTTCCCCCCCCCCAGTTTTATTGAGAAATAACTGATATATAATCACTGTATATGTTTAAGGCACACAGCATGATGGTTTGATTTATGTATATTGTGAGATGATGACCACAATAGGTTTGGCCAACATCTACCTTCTCATACAGATACAGTTTTAAAAAAAAGAAGAAGAAAAGAGGGAAAAATTTTCTCCTTGTGATGAGAACTCTCAGGATCTACTCTCTTAACACCTTTCCTATATATCCTACAGTAGTGTTATCTATGGTCATTATGTCATACATCACATCCCTAGGACTCATTAATCCTTTAACTGCAAGTTTGTACTTTTGGACCCCCTTCCTCCGACTCCCTCTTCTCCACCCTCTGCCTCTGGTGACCACAAGTCTCATCTCTTTTTCCATGAATTTGTTGTTGCTGTTGTTTTTAGATACCACATATAGGTGAGATCATGCAGTATCTATCTTTCCCTGTCTGACTTATTTCACTTATTGTGATGCCTTCAAGGTCTATCTTTGTTG